AAGCAAATTTTCAAGAAAAAATTTTCTGGAAATTGTTATAATTGTAATAAATCTGGCCATAAGGCATCTGATTGTAGGTTGCCAAAGAAAAATCAAGAAGCCCACATGGTAAAAAATCTGGCCAAAGATGTTGATGAGATGCATCTCGCTGCAGTTATATCCGAGGTGAATCTGGTGGGCTCAAATCCACATGAATGGTGGATTGACACGGGTGCTACCCGTCATGTTTGCTCAAACAAGGAATTGTTTAATGTCCTTGACGAGACTGTGGATGGAGAAAAGCTTTTCATGGAAAATTCTGCCACATCTGACATCAAAGGAGTGGGGAAAGTGGTACTGAAAATGACATCTGAAAAAGAATTGACTCTTAATAATGTCCTTTATGTACCAGAAATTCGCAAGAACCTAGTGTCTTGTTCTTTGTTGATCAAACATGGTTTTCGTGTAGTGTTTGAATCTGATAAGGTCATTTTGACTAAAAATGGAGCATTTGTAGGGAAGGGTTATGAATGTAATGGGCTTTTTAAGCTCAATGTGATGACAATTAATAAAAATGTTAATTCTTCCGTTTATATGCTTGAGTCTTCCATTGTGTGGCATGGTAGACTGGAACATGTCAATTACAATACCCTGCGCAGGTTAATAAAATTGAAAAGCATACTTATGTTCTATATTGATTCAAATCATAAGTGTGAAACTTGTGTTGAAGCAAAATTGACACGATTACCGTTTCAAACTATTGAAAGAAATAGTGAACCACTTGATTTAATTCACATTGATGTATGTGATTTAAAAGCTGTCACGACACGTGGTGGAAATAAATATTTTATTACTTTTGTAGATGATAACACTAAATTTTGTTATGTGTATCTTCTCAAAAGTAAGGATGAAGCGATAGAGAAATTCATTCTCTATAAAAATGAAGTTGAAAATCAGTTAAATAAAAAGATTAAGGTGATAAGAAGTGATAGAGGAGGTGAATATGAGTCACCTTTTGCTGAATTTTGTGCCCAACATGGGATAAGACATGAAATGACAGCACCTTATTCACCGCAACAAAATGGGATTGCAGAAAGAAAAAATCGTACTTTGAAAGAAATGATGAATTCAATGTTGTTAAGTTCTGGACTTCCACAGAACATGTGGGGGGAAGCTGTGTTGTCAGCAAATTACCTTTTAAATAAGGTTCCCCGCAAAAAGATAGATAAAAGCCCATATGAATTATGGCATGGAAGACCACCATCCTACAAATACTTGCGAGTGTGGGGGTGTCTACGCCAAAGAAAATAAAGATTGGACAAAAAACTGTTGATTGTGTATTTATTGGATATGCACACAACAGTAGTGCTTATCGGTTTCTTGTACATGAATCCAAAATTGAGAAAATTCATAAGAACACGATACTGAATCTAGAAATGCTTCATTTTTTGAGCACATATTTTCACGTAAGTCTGAAGTGGATTCTAGTTCCACTAAAAGAAATTTGGAAATAATGAAAAAAGATCAAGATGGATATGCTGAGGTAGAACCTCGGAAAAGTAAAAGAGGTGGGATAGAAAAATCTTTTGGTCCAGATTTTCTAACCTATGGTTGAAAGTGAACCACAAACGTTTTCAGAAGCTGTAAATTCTTCTGAAGGACCTCTTTGGAAAGAAGCAATCCAAGGTGAAATGGATTCCATTTTGCAAAATCACACATGGGAGCTAGTGGATCTTCCTCCTGGAAGTAAACCATTGGGCTACAGGTGGATTTTCAAAAGGAAAATGAAACCTGATGGAACAATAGATAAGTATAAGGCTAGACTTGTAATTAAAGGTTATAAGCAAAAAGAAGGTCTTGATTACTTTGATACATATTCTCCGGTAACGAGGATAACATCCATCAGGGTAATTATCGCAATTGCAGCTTTACGAAACCTTGAAATACATCAAATGGATGTAAAAACAGCTTTTCTAAATGGAGATTTAGAAGAAGAGATTTATATGGAGCAACCTGAAGGGTTCTCTGCTCCCGAGAAAGAGAATAAAGTTTGTAAATTGGTTAAGTCTTTGTATGGCTTAAAACAAGCTCCAAAACAATGGCATGAAAAGTTTGATAATGTCATGATTCAAAGTGGATTTAAAATTAATGAATGTGATAAATGTATCTATGTTAAAGACACAGAAAAGGGTTATGTAATCCTATGCCTTTACGTAGATGACATGCTTATTGTTGGAAGCAATGATAAAATTATTAAATCTACAAAAGATATGTTAAATTCTAGATTTGACATGAAAGATATGGGTCTAGCTGATGTGATTCTTGAAATTAAAATTCATAGAACATCACAAGGAATTGTTCTGAGTCGGGCACATTATGTGGAGAAAATCCTTGAAAAATTTAATAAGGATGATTTGACTCAGGCTAGGACCCCGATAGATACAAGTCAACATCTGTGAAAAAATAAAGGAGAAAGTGTTTCTCAAGTCGAATATTCAAGGGTGATAGGGAGTCTGATGTATCTAATGAATTGTACTAGACCAGACATCGCCTTTGCTGTGAGTAAACTGAGTAGATACACAAGTAATCCAGGAGATGAACACTGGAAAGGAATTGTGAGATTACTCAGATACTTGAGATATACTTGTAAATATGGTCTGCACTATTGTAAATATCCAACTGTAATTGAAGGTTATAGTGATGCCAACTGGATATCGGATATGAAAGATTCTAAATCCACTAGTGGATATTTATTCACTTTGGGAGGTGCAGCCATATCATGGAAATCTTCTAAGCAGACTGTTATTGCCAGATCCACAATGGAATCCGAATTTATAGCATTGGACAAAAGTGGAGAAGAGGCAGAGTGGCTTCACCATTTCTTAGAAGATATTCCAAAATGGTCAAAGCCAGTGCCAGCCATTTGTATACATTGTGATAGTCAATCGGCTATAGGCAAAGCACAAAGTAATATGTATAATGGTAAGTCCAGACATATTCGTCGAAGACATAATACCATTAAACAACTACTCTCAACTGGTACTATATCTATTGACTATGTGAAGTCAAAAGATAATCTTGCAGATCCGCAAACCAAAGGGTTAAATAGAGAGTTGGTTGCTAAATCTTTGAGAGGAATGGGACTTAAGCCTCTAGAAATGAGTTGATATAATGGAAACCCTACCTTGTTGACTGGAGATCCCAAGATCTTGGTTCAAAGTGACAACCTAATTGTAAAAAGACTCTTCTGATCACTGTGGGATAGTATCCCTTGTCCATTCCTTAAACAGTGATACTCGTGGTGAGTAGGATAAGCATTTTGGCTTTTAATGATTCTTGTATGGGAAGGTAGTGCGGGCTACTATTAATTGAGAATCACCTATGTGAGAGAGAAGTGGGGCCGCTTTGAAGAGAATTGTGTGAGGCTCAATTCTTAGACCCTCTCACAGAACCAGGCTATGTCCAAGGCCACTAATGGACATAATAATGAGAACTGGAATATGTTAGGGAGAATCCTGTGGGAAGTATATTTATCTTTTACACAAAAAACAGAACAGTTCAAAGACATCGCGTCTACTGGTCAGCTAGTAAAGTTGATGTGCTTTCACAAGAGAAGGTTCAAAGGGTAACACCTACCTATCCTATGCAGGTTTCAACTGTTGGACCATAACATTATTTTTCAATTTCATTCATGTGGGGATTGTTGGAAAATTGTGAATGAAATTTGTAACTGAAGCATTGATTTGAAACCGTGTCTTCCAACTTTAAGAAAACACTTGTAACTTGGTTTCATTAATGTTGAAACCATCTTTAACTTTAAGTTTATTAATGTTGAATTAAATGTATTAGTTACATCATTTTAGCATTATAAAAAGGGTGGTCTTCTTTGAGGGGGGAGACACGAAACCAAATAAAATGTTTCCAAAGTCTTATTCCCTCATATGTCTTTTAAGTGTTTTGGTCCAGGCATAATTCTAGTTTGCCGGATTTGTTTCGGTTTTTCCGTTGTATCCTGGAAAACAGACGCTCATACGGGGCGAATCTGTTTTAAGGACACTGTGTTCTCACAGGCCTCGGTATATGTTATATAGCCATCTTATTTTATCTTCCCGTTAAAGTTCCCTACAATGCTATGGCCCGTTACGAAACTATTTTGTCGGAACTTGTAACCGATAGATCATCAAGTAACAGTCGGGGATAGTTGATTTAACGGTTATAAAACCCGACAGAATAGTTCCGTAACGGGATCGTAGCATCTCCCCTAAATTTTAATGATTAAACAGTTATCCTTCTAATAATAATATCATACTCTAAAAATCAACGTAAATAAAAGTATGATATTTCATAACGAGATGATCCGCCTAACGGTCGGACCGTATCATACAAGATTACTTTGTGGGTCCTAACAAGCTAAGTTCCATTAAGTGCCTGCATAATGACCTACAAATTCCATGATGAGCAACAAATAGTAAAGGTCATGAAGGTCCCCAATTCCAAAATCCTTAAAAGCCAACTTGATGCAAAAAAATGTTAATACAAACAAAACACACAGAGATAAGTTTTGCAGTTGATAGAGTGAATATTCACCACTCATTTCCCTTTTTTTTTTTTCTTTTTTTAATTAATTAATTTATTTATTTTTTGCCTTCTCTAAATGACCTAATAATTCCAAGAAAAAAACTTATATAGCTGCCCCCTCATAATTTCTTATTGGCATTTAATAAGTGGTTGAAACTTTTTGCTGAAATAAAGTCTGTTTTACCTTGTGTCTCCAATTTTCCTGTTCTTGAAGGGCTCCAATGGCTGCTATTTCAGCTACTTGTATTAGATTTGGGACATTTTCAGCTGCTAGGGCTGATAATTACCAGGTGAACATATTTATTTAAATGTGACCTTTTAATTTCTTTATTCTTTTATGACATGTTTGGCTTGAGTCTCATGCTTTATACAATTTTCTTGCATTCATATAGCTTCTTCTCTATTTATATGTTCAGTTGAATGCTATTTTTTGTGCAGATAATTGCACGGTTTCTACTCATTGTTCTAAATATCGCCCTAGGCGGCCGCCTAGGCGCTAGGCGCTGGTCGAGCGCATAGCGACTTCTAGAACACTAGTTCTAGTAAGGTTGTTGTTAGGCAAACGTAACGATTTTGCAATATGGCCATAGTTTCTAATATAAATGTCATACTATAATAAAAAACCAACACAACAAAATACGACGTTTCATAATAAAAGTATGCATTTTTATTAAGAAAGTATGACGGGTCGACCCGCTTCACACAAGAATTTGTGTATTGATTCATGTTCTTGTTGCAACTAAAACCGTATTGAGTTTTCAAATCCAGCTTGATTGAAGTTTTCTTCAGCTGCATTAATTCCCTGTCTCTGTACCTTTTTTGTTCTTATTAGTAATTAAAATTTAAAGTGTGTTCATATGTGAAGTAGTCCCTTTGGTATACCTCTCCTTTTATTTTTTTTTATTTTTTTTTTTATCTTTTTTTCTTTAGTAATCTTTGTATAGTATAATTGCAATGTGGATCTCATATTACCCTTTCGAAAAAAAATAGACTTAAAATATCGAAAGCTTTCATTATCTCCGAGCTGCTTGATGGCATGCATTACTTGTTTATTGCGATTGGAACAACTCGATTATGCACGACGCTATTTGATATTATTCGTTATCTTCTATAGTATTTTCATCTTTTGTAATTTGGTTCGGATATTGCTAAATTCATCGTTTTCTTGGTCATGCAGATAATCGTTAAAAATCCGACATTGAGCTGGGCAAGGACCGGAGACTTTCCTTACATCAGAAAATCAGTGCTCCAAATTTGCGCTGTACATATCGCTTAACAAATCCATACCTAACATTTTTCAATTTGTAGTCCTTCAGAAAAATGTACCTCTTTTGAAGTTTGCTCGTATCCATTACTCTTTTGAAAAAACAAAAAAAGTCTGCATATTGGTATGAATTTTTCGGACTTCTCGTGAGAGCATTTGTTTTCACAGGCGAAGCCGGAGACAGTGGAGAAAGTGAGCAACATTGTGAGAAAGCAGTTGGCCTTATCACAAGAGACTCAACTCACACCTCAAACTACCTTCTCGGAGCTTGGTGCCGATTCTCTGGACACTGTAACTCCTTGTAACTCAAAACTCAATCTCGATTAAGTTTCCTAATTATATTTTTTCTATCGACCAATTATATGTGCATATAAGCCTTTCAAACAAGCGAATCAAAGATATATTGCACGATGTTTGTCATGTCTTTCCATTTAGCGCATATGTTACATTTCTATGTATTTGGATTTCATTTCAATGGTCACATTGGATTTAAAGGCTAGAGATCACAATCAATATGTTAGTGTGTAATTAATTGTTAGTCATTACCAGTCAGTAGTAATGTGAACTAAGATGGCTTCAAAGATGGGTAATTACCTGACTCATATAAACAGGCGAAAAATGGTCTCGACTTGTGATTTTTTCGTCGTTTAATTGTTAATGTGTTAATGTGTAATTAATTGTCAATCATTACCAGTCAGTAGTAATGTGAACTAAGATGGCTTCAGAGATGGTTAATTAATTACCTGACCCATAAACAGGCGAAAAATGGTCTCGACTTGTGATTTTTACGTCGTCTTATTATCATCAATCAACAAATTTTTCGCGTATGGTTTTTGACAGGTGGAAATAGTTATGGGGCTAGAGGAAGCGTTCGACATCAATGTGGAAGAAGAAAACTCGGAGAACATAACAACGATACAGGAAGCAGCCGACTTGATCGATAAACTCATCGAGAAGAAATGACGATCCCACTAGGAAATGATTTTTTCTGGTGGTTTTTTAGAGCACGAGTTGTTTTTCCGAATTCAACAGGCCTGTTTTTTGTTAAGGTGATTGCCTAATTCATTTTTAGCAAAAAAACATTTGAGACTCCGATGTTATGCATTTTTTTGGACTTGAAAAGGGATTTTTACTCATGTATATCATGTTGGTTTTGTTTGAGTCACACTATTTATTATTTTATTTGAGTGGTCTTTATTTAGGGCTGGCTACGGTGCCGTGCAGGTATCATTCCGTTAATTTAATCTCAGCCATTAGATTTTAAAAAATTTATAGGGACATTTAGATGTGGTAAAGGCCTACCAAACTAAAGTGATGTGGCAAGTGTTTATTGGTTCCGCTAAAATGCACAACGGGACTTAAGAATTTTCCCTTATATAATATTTTTATTTACGGTGGACTTCACTTTATATGTGCGTGCAGTATATACACTGGATTTTTCACCGAGTAAATTGAAATATTAGTTCTGTATGTTTCATTACCTTAACTTTTTCGTCCTCTTCGAATTGTGTTTTTTTTTTTTTTTTGTCCTTATATTTGCAAAAAGATTACAAAAAGGTATTTTTCGCTACAAAATGTGATTTATGTTTTGCAGAAAAAAAGTATCAATTTTGTCCCTTGTGTATGAAAATGACATTTTTGTAACTTTTTTGTAAACATGCAAGAGGAAATATAAAAAACGCAATTTGAAGATAATGAAAAAGCTAAGATAATAAAACATACATGACTAAAATTACAATTTACTCTTTTTTTCACCATTAAATAAACGCATGCACATTTACAGGTGTGTATCTCCGAAAATGGATATTTCGCACAACTTTATATCCATAAAACATTTTATGATTTTTATATTTTTCATTTAAGCCTTCTTTCTTAAATATCTAGTTTATAATCAAATAGAGATTTAAGCCTTGTTTGACAATTAATGGTTAATCCGTTATATAAGTTACTAGTACGAATTCCTTGCGATGCACGGGTAAGAAATATTTATTAGTATTTATTAGTATTTATAAATAAAAAATATGCATTAAATAATATTTTACAAATTAAGAATATTGAATCAATATGTAATACAGTTTACCTATATTAATTTTAAAAATGTTATACGAAATTTGAATTGTACAAAATTACATAAAATATGTATATTTAATATTTGTACACAACCCATAAAATGAATGTAACTAATAATAAATTATATTATATTCATTTCAAAATAATGTTATTTTAAAAAAATTATTCAAATTTTGTTTTAACTACAATGTGATTCAATAAAATAAATATTTTGATAAAATTTTATCATATATTTAAAAATCTATGTGAATAATACGTATAATTATAAAAATTATATTGTTTCATTAACTAAAATGAATTTATTTTCGTATGACCTGTCCAAATCAAAAAATTTAAGTAGTTGAATAATTTATTAAACTATAATTAATTGAATAATTCATTTGCATCCAAGTTAATATTAGCATAAGTTATGAATAACTACTTATTTGATCTTTAAATTTAGAACCTAAATTTGGACTACACAAATAAACTTTTTTATATATTTTATGTATAATATATATATATGTATATATATATTATATATATCTTGCATTTTTTTATATTTGTTGTCAGTTATCTTATCGTTCAAAATTATCAATTAATCTGTAGACTTAAATTACTAATTTTAAATTTTATTAACCAATGTTTGTTCAAAGAACATTATAATTTTCTAGAGGAATATATCAATTTGTCGAATTATCATCAATATATTATGGCAAATTATTATGCGAAATATGCTAAATTTTAAGAATCACATCACCTTGATTTTATAAGAATGTGGTTCATCCACATTTTATTTTACATTCTAATCAACCAATTGAGAGGTGAGAGAGAAATATTATTAAGCTAATTTTGGTAGTTATATATTTGATTTGATTTTCTTTGATTTGCTTTGGTTTAATTTTGGATGTGCAACCTCTATATATTGGATGTAATCCCACTATTACGATGAATGAAAAACAGATATCTTTTTCTCTTCTCTACTCTATGCATTCTCATAGTTCTAGCATGGTATCAGAGCAGTGTTTTCTTTATATTTTTTTTTCGCCGCTAATCTGATATAATTTTGTTTTTCAGTCATGTCATCAAACACGACTTCCTCTTCTTATAAAACAATATCTCCTTATTATATCACTCCTAGTGATAATCCTGGTTGTATAATTTCTACGGTCTCTCTCAAAGATACAAATTATGTTGAATGGTCTTCTTCTCTCTGGACTGCTCTCCGGGCACGAAAAAAATTTGGGTTCCTAGATGGTTCAATTCCTCCTCCATCAGACAAGGATCCTGCATTAGAGGATTGGTTTGTGAATAATTCCATGTTGGTCTCTTGGATATTATATACGATTGATCCAATCCTTCGATCCTTTGTTCCTCATATTGAAATCGCTAAAGATCTATGGGATTATCTTCATCGTCGATTCTCCCAAATTAACGGCACACAAATTCAACAATTAAAAGGAGAGTTGGCTTCTACCGTTCAAAAAGGAATGAGTATCAGTGCTTATTACGGCAAATTGCGAAAATTGTTTGATGAATTAGCCTCATATCAACCACCTCTCGCGTGTAAATGTGGGCTTGCCCATGAATTTGAGAAACGAAGGCAAGATTATGAAACCCATCAATTTTTGTTGGGCCTAGATAAGGAACTTTATGGGTCGGCCCGATCATACTTTGCCCTCTTTGGACCGAGTATATTCTGTCATCTCGCAAGAAGAACGACTTGTCTCTTCCTCAATTCCATCAACCGACGTTCTCAGTTTTGCAACCTCAGCCCCATCGCGACCTCAATCATCCAAGCCAACCTCCACCGGGCGAGGTCGTCAGTGCTCCGTGTATGGCAAATCTGGCCATGACGCGGTCGCGTGCTTCCGTGTGAAACCCTGCCCCCAATGTCAGCGGACCGGCCACGATCCACGGCGATGCTACTAACTGGTCTGATATCCGGCGGGCAGGTCCAGCTCTTCCGACGACGCAGTGGCGGCTCGAAGGACCTCATCGACACTTTCTACCACCAGATCTTCTTTCGGCGGGCTTGGGGCTGGCCGTGACAATTTCACCTTCCCTCCGGTAAAAGCAAATGCCACCAACGCCAATAATTTGCCGCAGATTTCTGATTTTGGGGTTGGTCATATTTCGGCCTCCACAGGATTGAGTCCCGATCAATGGCAGGCTCTTGTTAATCTCATTCGCCCAAATAATTCTGATTCTGCTGTTTCTGAACATTTAACCGGTAAGGATTACTCCCGTACTTGGATGTATGATTGTGGTGCCACACATCATATGACTGGTTTCTATAACTCACTTATTGATATTTGTGATATTTCACCTCGACCGGTACAACTTCTTGATGGCCAATTGACTGCTGCGACTAAAGCTGGCTCAGTACGGCTTGGTCATAATTTGGTGTTGATGAATATCCTATTCGTACCAAGTCTTAAGTGCAGTCTTATTTCTTTATATCACTTACTGGAGGATCATGGGTGTGTAGCCCATTTCACTAATATTGATTGTTTGATACAGGACCGTGCTACGAGGACGGTGATTGGTCTGGGTGAGCAAAAAGGGGGGTTATATTTTTTTCGTGATCCTATGAAAGCGGTGACGGCTCAAGTATCAGTTCATGGTTCTTTGGAGTTGTGGCATCAACGGCTCGGACATCCACCTTCAAAGGTTCTTGGAAAATTATGTAGTTTCGTTCCTACAAGTTAGTCGTTTTGATAATAAAGCTTGCGATGTGTGTTATCGTGCCAAGCATACTAGAGACTCTTTTCCTTTGAGTGATAGTGCCAGTTTAGAACCTTTTGCTTTAATTCACTGTGATTTGTGGGTCCTTATCGTGTCCCTTCTTTCTCTGGAGCAAGATATTTTTTGACAATTGTTGATGATTTTTCTCGTGCTGTGTGGCTTTATTTGTTGGCTGACAAAAGCAGTGTTTCAGCTACTTTGACCGGTTTTTTTGCCATGGTACAACGCCAGTTTAATAAATTGGTGAAAGTTGTTAGAAGTGATAATGGAACTGAATTTATGTGTCTCACTTCATATTTTCAGAAAAACGGTATTTTACATGAGACATCTTGTGTTGCTACCCCTCAGCAGAATGGCCGTGCAGAACGCAAACATCGGCACATTCTCAATGTGGCCCGTGCTCTGCGTTTTCAGGCCAATCTGCCTATTGAATTTTGGGGTCACTGTGTCTTGACTGCCGGATATTTAATTAACTGTACCCCTACTGAGGTGTTACATGGTAAGAGTCCTTATGAGGTTCTTTTTGGAAAATCACCAACTCTTACACACATTCGTGTTTTTGGCTGCTTGTGCTATGTTCATAATTTGGATCGATCGGGGGATAAATTTGCTAGTCGTAGTAGGAAGTGTGTTTTCGTCGGCTACCCTTTCGGCAAAAAGGGGTGGTCAGTTTTTTATCTTGACACTCGACAGTTTCTGGTTTCTCGAGATGTTAAATTTTGTGAGGACCAGTTTCCTTATTCTACATTACCTGTTTCTGAGCCGGGTTCTGTGCCGCCTGATTTTCCTACGCCTTGGCCCGCTATTGATGATGAGTCCTCTCCGGACACAGTTTCTGCTCCAAACCCGGTTTCCGCTCCGGAACCTATTTCTGCTCCGGACCTGGTCTCCCCATCTACTTCTGAGGCAACTGAGGTTAGGGGGGGCCCTGACTCTACAGCTTCTACTGAGCTCTTCGGCCGTGGGCATCGGACAAAATTTCCTTCCACCAGACTACGAGATCACATCACCTGTACTATTAACCCCCCCGGCTCGCTCTACCACCACCTCATCGTCCTCAGGTACGCCTTATCCGTTAGCCTATTTTATTGATAGCACTAATTTTTCATCTGCCCATAAGACTTTCTTGGTAGCGATAGAATCTTCAGTTGAGCCGCGAACATTTT